GACTGTCTCCTCTTCCCCTTAAGCCTATCCAACAACCATGAATAATTCAAATTTAATTTCCTACACTTGTCCATCATAGTCAGGAAGTTAAAAAAGCTCCTAACATCCTGAATAGGAGGAAATTGAGTAAGAATTATATATATCGAAACAACTCAAACACGAAGAATATTATATATTGCCTTTGGGTGGCTTATAGAGAAGGAATTCTTCGAAGCCCTTCTTCATATTTTAAAATTTTTATTTTCTTTCACATTCGACAAAATTTCTAGATGGCTAATCAAGCCTTCTACTCATTTAATTTCCGGAACTTCATCTTCTAATTCTTATATCACCTTAAGTGACCCGACATAACTCGAGTTCATGTTTAATTTCTTTTATTTTCAAAACCTTATTTGGTACATCAGACCTCATCCACTATAGAGTTAAGTGAACCTCTGATTTGTTGACCGAAAACTTGTTCGACGTACTAGTCCCCATGTGCTCCGTCAACGGGAGAGTCGCATCCCTTCTGCATTGTTTTCTCCATAAGTCATTTTTACCTTCATATCGTGTAAAATAATATTCCTCGGGCTCCTTCATGTCGGATCGTTTGTGTAAAAGGATAATAGGGATAACATTTCTTCAAATAAATATAGTTTGAAGATTCACGCGTTTAAGGTATCGATATCGCTAGAGAGTATTATCACGTCTTGGAGATATAATGCTAAAATTGGGAACCAATCTAGCCCACTCAGCTAGGGATTTTGATAGTGGATTGCTTTCTTCGAACATTTCCCCCCTAACCTGCTGCGTCTTCTACCCAATTGTCGTGTGCATCGTAATTATCGAATCCTTCAACAGCTAAGAATTAGTCATCTTTTTCGTGAGTTTTCGAACTATTATGGTGATTAATTATCTCTGACCTAATTGGCATTTTAATTCCATATTGATGCTCTTGGAAACTGTAGATTATTAGAAGTGGTCTGACCTCGTTTTCGCGACTTGATCATATTATCAGGAAGACTTAGCTGGGTGCAGATCGTTGGAATTCCTTTGTCATAGTAGTTATCATTATTCCCAGCTTCAGACTATGGACTTGGTACATTCCCAGCCACTTCACCGGAATCCTAGTCGGTATCGTCAATGAGTCTCGCCATTCTCCGTACCAACATACAACAAGTGAAATCAGTCCTAAAGGAGTTAGGCAGAACGTTGTTCAAGGAATTGACTTCAATTGTCAAGTTAATAGAATACTTAAATTTGCTCGAACTTATGACGGATCCATTCAAATACAAAAATGTATCGCATTTGATCAGCAAAAGGGCAGTGAACGACTCGGAAGTATGTAAATATAACAATTTTCGTTGGATAAATAGGCTTGAGGTCGTGCTATGTTGACGAGTTGGAAGTTGTGCTGACAGCGGCGTCTTATTCGATGCATCCGACCCCTACTTGGTCCAGTCTTTCCTCCATTTCATGATCAAATTATACTGTTTTATAAGCCCAACAATTTGCTTGGCACAAGCTCCCGGACCCTCCCGACAAATATCCAAAATCCGTCTAAAAGACGAAGGGCTTGTCTTGCGAACTTGGCCATCTTCGTGCGTTTTGCCTGCTTCCAATCGCCAGACCATCCCTTACACATGAGTGCTCTTATCTTGGCCCGACCGTGTTTACAGAAGATTGAATGACTCATATAATCACACTTATCCCATAACCCAATACTCCTACCCCTTGTTTGTGTCATTATCAATCATTGTCCCTCGATTTGGCGGCTCGAATTCGTATCGCGGAATCGACAGACCAACATTCATTTGCCATTTGAGACGTTCTTCTTTGATGAGCCTTTGCTTCCTGAGCCCCCCGCCACCTCCAACCTTAGTCCAAGCTCTCGGTTACAGATTTCTGCCTCATTTCCCATCCAAAATGCTGCTTTTGTTTTTGCCTCTCTACGTGTTTTCCAGCTGCTTGTCTCGCTTTTCATGTACATATATTTGTAGACGCATTTGCTCATTTTATGTATGCACCTGCTGTCTTCCCAAACTCTTCAGGTTTTCTCCTTATCTTCCTTGCACGTCCAGCCTTCATCTCTCGTCCACTAACCCTCATCGTTTCCCTCCACAGCTCCAAATCGTATTCGCCAACGCGGCTCAATTAGCTTATCCTCCATCGCAAGTGCCCAAAATGACTACCAAACACTCATCCAATCACACATACCGACTCACACCCATCAACTTGTCATAGTTACACTCGCCCGAATCACTCTGTAGGGTGTGGTATGCTGTCTTATCCATTTTCAGTAAATGAAGTAATTCCAGAGGCGCTTATTTTATGCAAAATTTCAGTCTCGATGGAACACTCTTTTGTGTAGACCATTTTGGGGAAGAGTTCTGCCAATCCGGCCCTTGCCTATTTACTGAAGGTAGAAAAATCCGTCGGATGAAGGTAAGAATTAGGACTCTAGCATAGCATGTAGCTAACCTTCCATACTCCTCGAATTCTTGTAACTATGTTATCGATACCTACCCAATTTGGATGCATCCTTCGCCTTGGTGTCGTTACGATGCCATCTCAGAGGCAACTGTTTGCTGGGTCGTATTGCTTTTGTGAATTTATTCGTAATGCCTAAAATAGGGCATTTAAGTTTATTCAACTTTTACACAATTGAGCCTCCTTGTTTTCTTGATCAAATGGTGTAAGAGATTGGCTGAATTATGTGGGATAATCTCTTAGATAGCCTAAATTGGTGTCATCTCACGCCTGCTGCACACTGATTTTTGAGGGATTCATAAAGGTCGATTCGATTATAAAGTGAAGATATCGTGTTCTTCTTTTCTTCATAGGATCTTGTGAAAAGCGACCATTGAAAGGTGCAGACGTGGGTCAATTTTTAACTTTTTGTGGTAACTGTTCCTGAAAATGTTTGATTGTTTACCATCTCCATCGTTCCATTCTTTCTACTTTAATTTTTGTTCAGGCGGCCTCACTGATGGCTTCTACTTTACTGCATCACCACTCGACCAAACTATCGAGGAGTCTTACCCACTGCGTCTACCCTGCGCGGTGACTCCTGACGTGGACATTCTTTACTCATGGGTACAGGATGGAGTGCCGGTCAACCTCACACGGGAAGCAGGCCGTCGTGTGCTCCAAGAAGGTAGCAACCTCCAGATTGTTCACGCCGATCGTGACCTCGACAAAGGAGTCTACCACTGCCAGGCCTTTAATAAAACCTCCACCTTCTCCAGTATAAGCCGGAATGCGAAGATTACCGTCGCTTGTAAGTGCAAGGTTCCCTCTCTCAAATGCCTCATTAATTCGAGGGAAAAAGAGTCTGCACTTTTTATTTGACATGTCATGTTATTTAGGCCTCGCTTCTGCGACCACCAACCATGTTTCGCCCGGCTTACCTTTCATCCCAGCTTATCGGACTTTACAAATAATGTAACATTTGTGATACACCGCTTAAAAAGTCCGCTTCTGACTTTCTAAAATGCAAATGCAAAAGCTTTTTTATCAGGTTTTCGAGACTACCAGTATATCATGCATATGAGATTTATTCACCCTATTTCATTTAAGGTGATATGGCTTAGTTGAAGTTTCCCACAATCATACGATATGCCTTAAGTTTCCATTGCATTTTACATAGCCTTTGAGTATATGAATACCTAGATGGTGTGGCTTTCGTTATGGTCGTAGTATCCTTTCTATATATACAAGTTTTCGCAACTTGGTCTTGTTGTCAGGGCGACTTAGTTGGACACACATTGTCCTAAGTCATCTGCCATGGTAGCTATCATTATTCCAAGCGTGGACTTGAATAGCCCTTGTTTTTACAAAAGTTATTCTCCAGGCTGGACTGGACAGCAGTTTTGATCTCGTCTGAGTCTCGTCAATAATCCCAGCAGGATTCGAACCATGACAGCGCAGCCTATACTCTCGACACGTTAGCCACAACGCCACAGTGTCACGAGAACCTGCTTACAAAACGAAAAATAGGTGACGTAGTCGATTGCTATGGCAAATGCAACCTTGATTTATCGACAATCTCACCACATAATATGGTATGGGAAAATACCTTGCTGTCTTTGAAATCAACATCTGCTCTGCGGCTCGAGGGCACAACTGGCGATGTTACGTAGTGGTTAACGTGTCGAGATTATACACTGTACTGTCATGCTTCGAGTCTTGCTTGGGGTTCTAATGAGACCAGATAAGGTGAGCTCGAAATTGCGGCACTCCAATCAGGATAAGAATACCTTTTTGGAATGCAAGGCCATATGAAATGTAATGGAAACCTAAGGTCTACTCTTGTCATAGTGGGAAAATTCAACTCCCATTTCTCTTATCATCTTAAACGAACTAGGGTGAATACACATCATTCGTTATAATGGGAAGCTCGGTTGATGTTGCGAGTGGTTCTAGTACCCCATGGTGTTGATAAA